GGGCAGCGAAACAGATAGGCTAGTCTTTCGAGACAGCGAAACAGATAGGCTATTCTTTTCGGGCAGCGAAACAGATCGGATACTGTTGCACGGACGCGTCGTCTTGGATTACCCCGGATGGACACACACTATAAACGCAAGTGTGTGAATGTCGCTCACTTGCAGGTGAGCGAATATCCATTCGTACACTTACGGGGGGTAAACGTGAGAATTTTTCCTAGAAAATTCACACCTTTACCCCCGTAAGTGTACGAATGGATATTCGCTCACCTGCAAGTGAGCGACATTCACACACTTGAGTTTCCAGTGCAGGCCATGTCTAGCGAAATACCTAAATCATTTCCCCCTCACACTTACTTGTCGGTGTCAAGGATCTTGCGCAACACTGCCAGAATCGTGTCCTTGTTAAGGTCACGGCGGTGGTCCAGAGTCACCGAGATGCCCTTATACTCAAAAAGGGCAGCGTTGAAGGGCTGGTCCCCAAACATGGGGATGCAAACGAGTGGCACGCCCAGGAACATGGCCTCAGAGGACCCCATCAGGCCGGCATGCCCGACAAACAGCACCGTCTTGGGGTGGGCTGAATGGGATGGAAACAGAAAAAATATATTAAAGTCAGATGTCTCAAGCGGCACTTTTAAAGCATTGACTTTTTAAATGCAGAACGTTTGTGTGGGCCTTCAGGCCACATGAGTGTCAGTTTGTCTAAATTGTTAGACTAAAAGTAGTGGTCCTAATGCTGAGTCTGCGAAACGATTGACGTTCCATTCTGGTTTACCGTGCGCTTCGCAAGTTCAGTAATAACTTGTAAAAATATTTGCAGAGTCATCTGCTGAATTAAAGAGATTATTGTGTAGGTTTAAAAAACTATATATATTTTTAAAATTTCCCCAGCCCCTCCAGGCCACTGGCCAGAGCTGCCGTGGGGGCAAAATACCCGCCAGTCCGGGCGTGGCACAAAATAGAGCAAAACAAAATTTTGACCCAAAGGGCGCTACTTTGACGAGTTTCCCCTAAGAACACTGTTTAACATTTTTCAAAAAATATCTTCTGCAAAAACCTTACTCCTACTCTCTATAGGATAAAACTAATAGTGAGGTTCAGGAAAAATTCCAAGTGCCATCCGATTTCTACATAAATAACCTTCAAATTTTCCAAGTATCAACGAAATCGAAGATTTACACCTGAAAAGGTTCCCTAGTAAAACGCACGCAATTCAACCGCGCGCTTTAGAACTTACGTAGTTTGCCGCCGCTCCCTGGAAACCCACGTAGTACGTTACCGGCCGTTGCGCTGCGGATCAGGCGGGCGACTGGCCAAAACCCGCCGCTCGACACGGCGTGCGCGGTGTTCTCGAACTACGCG